GATTTCCCCCACAGTTTCGTAATCCTGGTTTTTGAGGATCACGAAACTGCGGAGGAAATTGGTGAAGCCGTGGGTCAAATGCAGCCCCGCAGCCTCGGGTGTGAAATTGACAAATAGTGTCGGGGCAAACGGCGGCACAACCGCGAGGCAGCTCCAGTGCGAAATCGCCCCTGGATTTAGCCAACCTCTTCTTTTGTTATTATGCTTGTAAGCCACTGGCTTGTATCATGCACCATGGCTAACCACATAGATATTCCTTTTGCATACAGGAATACTCAGATACCTGAGCCTTGGGAATCTGAGCATCCACAGATGTACTTAGGGCTTTGAGCAAGTCCCTCTTTTCAACCTCAGTTGCCTTTCAGTTCTATGGAAAGAACAACAGTTACCCAGGGTTGTTTTTTTTTTTCTGGGGGAACATGCCGGAATGGAGTTCCAGAACCCCTTCAACAAAATTCTTTTTAAAATGTTTAAACGTTCATGAGTTTTCACTATGCAGGTTGAAAACTTCATTTCCTGCAGTTACCTATCAGACTAGGATGTTGCAAGGAAAAACATTTGACTAAGATCAACAGCGGCTCTGCAGCACTGAACATTCCTGGAGCTTGGTCATACTAGGCCGGATTCTTCAGCCATTCTGTAGAAAAGTCCTTTCCGGGCTATTAATGTCTCTGGCGTATCAAATTCTGCCACCTGACCACTTTCCATCACTAGAATCCTGCAAATGTTAAAAAGAGGAATTTCAGAGCTGAGAGACATAATACCAGTCACTAGCAAGCCAAACACAGTTCTTGGAGCTTCTCCTCTCATACGATACCCCTCAAACCATGAGACCAGCCAATCAGGCCTAGCTACAGATCTCATTTTTTTGTGTGGATGCTTGTTCGTCAGACATGAGGAGCACAGCATTTTTGGTGATGGCTCTAGCAAGGTAATTTCTACGAAATGACCCCTGCCTATCAGACTAGGATGTTGCAAGGAGAAGCATTTGACTACGATCAACAGTGGCTTTGCAGCACTGAACATTCCTGGAGCTTGGTCATACTAGGCCAGATTCTTCAGCCATTCTGTAGAAAAGTCCTTTCCGGGCTATTAATGTCTCTGGGGTATCAAATTCTGCCACCTGACCACTTTCCATCACTAGAATCCTGCAAATGTTAAAAAGAGGAATTTCAGAGCTGAGAGACATAATACCAGTCACTAGCAAGCCAAACACAGTTCTTGGAGCTTCTCCTCTCATACGATACCCCTCAAACCATGAGACCAGCCAATCAGGCCTAGCTACAGATCTCATTTTTTTGTGTGGATGCTTGTTCGTCAGACATGAGGAGCACAGCATTTTTGGTGATGGCTCTAGCAAGGTAGAGTGCCTTCCCCCAGAGAAGCTTGCATAACTTGATACTTTGCCTCTTTCCAAGGACAATGACTGCCAGACTTTTGAGAGAACTGAGCCTATGCATTTCTGCTGCTGATTTCTAACATTTGTTTTATTTATAAGTTACAAGTAGGGGTGTGCATTTGGCTCCATCCAAGCCAAAAGAAATAGCCAGAAAATACTTTATCAGTGTTTTATCAGCTATTCTTTCAGCCAGATATAGAGTGGGATGTATTTTCAGCTATTGAGTATAGCCAATCCCGGATAATCCTGAAAAAGTTTTGGATTATCCAGGAAAACAGGATAGCCGCAGTTAGCATTTAAAGAGAGTTTAAATGCATTTAAAGGGAACACAACACCTTCGGCTCCATTACTCCATTATAGCCTATGGAGAACGTTGTAATCAATGATCCCCATCTCCCTTATATATAAAATCCGAATGGTGGTGACACTTCTCTAGAACATTCCACACGCTCCGGAATTGGTTGGTGCCCTGCTGTGAGAGGGTCTCCCTATCCACTGACTGCTTTGCCTGAGTCCTGCCTCCAACATTCTAAACAGTTTGCTGGTTCCTCTCCCCCCCATAGCCAGTCAGAACACAGAGGTTATTTGCATATGCAGCCTCATTGGCCTTTGCCTCGTAACACAGAAGTTGTTTGCATATGCGACTTGATTGGCTTTTGCCTCTAACATTCGTTCTTAGGTAAAATGTGTCCAATCTCCAGGTGAGGGCTGGAGATCACTCAGAATTCCAACTGCTTTCCAGATGGCAGAGATCAGTTCCCCTGGAGAAAATGGTGGGCTCTGTATCATTATATGCTGCTGAGGTGGCCCCCATGACAGCCAATGTGACATAGCAGTCAGGGCTTCAGAGCACGGGAGAAGCTGCAGGTGTGTGGGGGGTGGAAAGCTAAAGAGTGAGGGGGAAATAAAGGTAGGTTGGTGATTGGCTGGGAAGGAGATAGGGTTGCCAACTCCAGGTGGGAAATTCCTGGAGATGTGAGGGATGGAGCCTGGAGAGGGTGAGTTTTCAGGAGGC